GACTTCACTCATATGAGGACTTTAAGATACAAAACAGATGAGCATAAGAGAAGGGAAGCAAAAATAATATAAAAACAGGGAGGTGGACAAAACCTGAGACTCTTAAATATAGAGAACAGAGGGTTGCTGGAGGGGTTGTGCGGGGGGGATTGGCTAAATGGGAAAGGGAGGGGCTTAAGGAATCTACTCCTGAAATCATTGTGGCACCATGTGCTAACTAACTTGGGTATAAATTTAAAAAAACAAATAAATTATAGAAAGAAAAATGAAAAATTAAAAAATCTATAAAAAATTTTTAATTAAAAAAAGGAAGAAATCCTGCCATTTATGACAACATGGATAAACCTGAAGGAAATTATGCTAGGTGAAATAAGCTAAACACAGAAGGACAAATATTACATGGTACCACTTATATGGTGAATCTAAAATAATCAAACTTGGGACACCCGGGGGGCTCAGTTGGTTGAGCATCCAACTTCGGATCAGGTCATGATCTCTCTGCTGCCAGTGTGGAGCCCGCTTCAGATGCTCGGTTTCCCTTTCTCTCTCTGCACCTCCCCCACTCGTGCTCACTCTCTCTCAAAAATAAACATATAAATAAATAAACAAACATACTCCTAGAAATTGAGAGCAGAATGGTGGTTGCCAGGTGCTGGGGAGACAAGGACATACAAAGTCATTTTTCAAAAGCACAAATGATAAAGGAAAAAAATTCATAAATTAAAAGTTCAACAAAATTAAAAACTTTTGTCCTTCAAAAGATAGCAACAATGAAGACAACTCACAGAATAGAAAACTTTTATAAATCATTTCTCTGATAAGTAATCTAGAATATAGAAATGATTCTCAATGAGTCGATAACAATAAAACAAATACATTAAAAATAAACTAATTTATTTTTTATTTTTCTAAATGTTCATTTATCTTTGAGAGAGAGAGAGACAGAGCACAAGTGGGGGAGGGGCAGAGAAAGAGGGAAACCCAGAATCTGAAGCACGCTCCAGGCTCTGAGCTGTCAGCACAGTGACCTTTGCAGGGCTCGAACCCACAGACCAGGAGATCATGACCTAAGCCGAAGTCACACGTTTAACTGACTGAGCCACCCAGGCGCCCCCAGAATAAACTAATTTAAAGTAAAAGTAAACCAAAAAAATGGTCTGACTCTTGATTTTGGCTTAGGTCACGATCTCATGGTTCTTGAGTTCGAGCCCTGCATCTCGCTCTCTGCTGTCAGCACAGATCCCGCTGCACATCATCTGTCCCCCTCTCTCTCTGCCTTTCACTTGCTCATTCTCTCTTTCTCTCAAAATAAACTTTAAAAAATGGGCAAAAGGTCTGAACAGACCTTTTTCCAAAGAAAATATATAATGGGCAATGGGCAATAAGCACATAAAAAGGTGCTGAACATAAAGAGCTATCAGGGAAATAAAAACTGAAACCACAATATGGTACTGTATCACACCCTCTAGGATGGCTAGAATAAAAAAAAGAATAACAAGTCTTGGGGAAGATATGGGGAAAACAGAACCCTCACACACTGTTGGTACAAATGCAAAATGGTACAGCTACTTTCAAAAACAGTCTGGAAGTTCCTCCAATAATTAAACATGGATTATACCATATAATCCAGCGCTCCCACCTCTAAGTATATCCCCAAGAGAAATGAAAACATGTTCACACAAAACCTTGTATACAAATCCTTATAGAAACATCATTCACAATAGCTAAAAAGTGGAAATAACCCAAAAGTCCATCAACTAATGGATAAGCAAAATGAAATATATCTGCCCCAAAAATATATTATCTGGCAATAAAAACAAATGAAATACTGATACATGCTATGCCATAGATAAACCTTGAAAACATTATGCTAAGTAAAAGAAACCAGTCACAAAATAACATATATTTTATGAGTTTATTTTTATGAAATTCCAGAATAAGTGAATCTACATAGATATAAAAATAGATTAGTATTTGCCTAGGATGGGGGCAGGGAATGGGGAGACAGAAGTGACAGCTAAGGGGTGTAGATTTTCTTTCCAGGATAATAAAAATATTATAAAATATATTGTCATGAAGGCAAAGCTCTGTGAATAATCTAAAAGCCATTGAACTGTATACTTTAAATGTGTGGATTATACTGTATTTGAATTATATCTTAATAAAGCTGTTTTAAAAAGACTAATTTTTTTAAAGTGCCCTATCTTTTAGAGGTATATAATGAAGTATTTACAGCAAAATTTTATAACATTTGGTATTTGCTTCAAAGTAAGTGGGTGGGGTGAGAGGGTTAAAACCGGTTGGGAGTAGAGACTGAACTGGGTGATGGGTATGTGGGGATTTATTTTACTATTCTCTCTACTTGTGTATGTTTGAAATTTACAACATGAAAAAAGTTTTGTAAAAAAAAGTAACAAAGACCTAATGCTATGGTAAGGAATGCCAAAATCTATGGAAAGGTAAGCCAGTATCTAGAACGTGAGAAGCCAGATGGGTAAACCTCATTCTCAAAGTCGCTCTTGGCTTTTCTTCCACAGCTTCAAAGGGCAAAGGTAACTAAAGTCAAAGCACAGGTTCTGCCAAAGTAGGAAGTCTTATAACCCAACCCCCAATTTAAACTAGAGACCCAAAAGGCTATACCTTCAAGGTAAGAGTTTATCAGAAGTAAATTCGCCTTCTCAAAGGCTGGTCTATCCACCTATGATCAAGGGAACCTTAGGCATAGTACTTGGATTAGGGTAGTCCCAAAGAGCACTCCTAGGTATCTATGGAAGTAAATGAAAGTTCTCTCTACAGGAAGATCTCACTCTAATCTGATTCCTTCTACAGATAATATTCCAGGTATCCAGCACATGGCCAAAGATAACCAGACACACAAAGAAATTAAGCAATATGAGGAAGAACCAGCAGAAAAAGGAGGCAAGCAGTACACACAAACACTTCTGATACTGGAATTATCAGACAGATTATAAAACAATGTTTACTAAGTTAAAGAAAGGAAACACTGGATGGTTAAAACAAGAAGCAATAAAAATGGCTACCTAAAGACAAAGAAGAGAGAAGAAGAAGGAGACAAGGATGGAAGAGACATTTCTACAGTTTAGATTTGGAACTAGGTAAATGTTTTACATATTCTATGTTAAAAGTAACCTCTAAAGCATGAAAAGAAACTGAAACAAATATACCTAAATGTATATAAAATACAGTACATGCTCTGTACAGTTTTAGTAGGATTTAGTCCAGAAGCAAAAAGAACTAAAATTATTTCAAATTTCATCCAGTAGTCTCACTATTAATAGTAATATAAATACTATGAATTTGAAACAAGTTTATATATATATATATATATATATATATAAATCAGACAAATTATTATGAAGATGAGAAAAACAGAAAGAGAAGAACGAATATCAGAAAATCACTAAACTATACACCTCTGAAATCCCTCTATGTACTTAAAAATATAATTTTAATTCAAATACTGAAATCATTCAATGTGTTTCTGAAGGCCTACATACTAATTTTTTCACCATCTGGTCCTTGACTACACTTCAAAACCTCATATCCTATAATGCTACAGTCTAAACTAGTGGTTCTCAACCCTGGTTGTATATCACAACAATTATATTAAAAAAGCAGATTCTGGATGTCACCACATTGTTATTAGATCAGAATCTCAGGGTGGGAGCATCAAGGATGTATACTTTAGAAAAGCACCCTGGGTACTTCTTCTCAGTTAAGGGAGAATCCCTGCTCAAGCCCTACAATTCTACTTAAGTTCCCCAAACGTGGTAAGCTCTAAAAGAGGGGTCAGCAAACCACGGCCCAGGTCTCACATCCAACCCAATGCCTGTTTCTGTAAATAAATTTTCATTAGAACACAACTCAGCCCATTTGTTTACCTACTGTCTATTGCTACTTTCATGCTACAATGACAAGGCTGAGTAGTCTTGATTGAGACAACATGGCCTGCAAAGCCTAAAATATTTACAATCTGGGCCTCTAATGGAAAAAGTCTACTGACCCCTTATCTATCTTTGCATTTTTCTTCAAATACTTCTCCATCTTGGCAAGATCATGCTCATCACTCAAAGCTCTGACTGGCACCACTTCTGTAAAGCCTGAACTGGGTTAGTACCCCTGTATATTTTTTTCAATGTCCTCTGTACTTTCCCTATATTACTCATCATTCTTTATTCTAAGATGTCTATTTAATGACCACCACCCTATCTAGACTGCAAACACTGAGGACAACATCCAGATGTGTCTTGTTTACCACATTGCCTGATTCATTACATGCATATATTAAGCATTTATTCAATAAATATCTCCCCCCTCCTATACATTTCTTTTCCATCTTATTAGATTTCTCAGTGTTCCAATCTGTTAAGGGAATTCTGAATTTAGATTCTATCAGTGTATCTGTAATCCCATCATATTGTGTCATTTACACATTTGATATGCACACCATTTGAATTCCTAAAGTCACTGATAGTGGTGAAAATGACAAGGCTGATAAAGTCCTAAGAAGACTGGACCCCCTCCCTGCCAGCACAGTGACAGCCATCAAATCAGCAGTCTTTAGTGTAGCCTACATTTTCCATCTTGTCTAGAAGGATTTTATGAGAGTTTCCACTTCTTCACAGCCATTTCTTACCTGGTACCATCTCTACCCAAGTAGAACTGAACTAACAATCACTCCCCCATCTTTCTCACAACGGTACCTTTTTCTCATTTCACCTCACTATATTGTAATAATGTTTACAAGTCTGTCTTTGCCACAAGCCCAAGCCTGGAGGATAATCCTCCTTGGGAGGATAGAAACTTACTTAAATTAACTTTGAACCTCCAGAACCTAGCACAATGTCCAAAAATCGAGCTGACACCAAAAAAGGAATGAATGAACATGTCTTACAATTCAGACACAATTTATTGCATTTCCTATTTCTGCCATTATAGCACTCCTATATAAAATCTAAAAATCCTTTAAACGTCCTTACCTGGAGCAGAAAGGAAACTGTATAACTCAATAGAGCTGGGTGATGAACTAAATTTAAACTGCTTTTATACTCTGCTACTCCAGCTTTTTCTATGACTTCATGGTCAATATACAATCCTTTCTGGAAAGGTTTGGATGTCCACAGGCAACCAACCATCACTGTCAAATAGTGATTAAATTCTTTATAGGTCTTGGTGCTGAAATTGAACTCTGATTTTGTCTGTTGGGAAAGAAAAGAAATATTCTCATTATAATCTTTTCTTCCTTTCCTTCTTATTCCCAATAGATCATATATATCCAAACTCAATTTTTCAACAATGGTGATTTAATACAGAGCTTTGTCATCTATACCTTTTGTACCAACTCATTTTTCTTTGCAGCAGTCAAATTTTTACGATACCTAAAATGGAGAACAGAATGAAATTTTGAACATTGAATGCTTTTGAAATGTGTAAACATAAAGGTGTACATTAAAATTTTTTTAATGTTTATTTATTTTTGAGAGAGAGACAGAGCGTGAATGGGGAAGGAGCAGAGAGAGAGGGAGACACAGAATCCAAAGCAGGCTCCAGGCTCTGAGCTGTCAGCATGGAGCCTGATGTGGGGCTCAAACCCATGAACCATGAGGTCATGACCTGAGCCGAAGTCAGCCGCTTAACCAACTGATCCACGCAGGCACCCCAAAAGTGTCCATTTTAAATGTAAATATATGCAGATGTGACATACACAAATAACCAGCTGCCTAGTTAAGGTTTTTATTCTTCTGTGCTACACTCCTCTTAAAGATAAAAGTTAATAGAGGCTCAAATATTGAGTTGTACATTTAAGATATGCACTTAACTATATGTAAATTTTAGCTGCCTGAATAAAAAAGAAAAACCAATGAAGGAAATACTTTTAATGTTTCATTATAAAAAATTAATAGAGGCTCAAGAGCAGTCACTAATATAAAACATGTTCTTAATGTAGAAAAAAGGTTCAGTAGAAAGGATAAACGGGAAAATTATAAATTTATTTTTTTCTTGCCTGGGAACAATTACTAATTAGTTTATAAACATTCTAACCTTGGTATAATCCTTAAAGTTATGCCAAAGGGGTCTACGACAATTGTGGACTAAAAGACGAATTTCAGGGGCACCTGGGTGGCTCAGTCGGTTAAGCGTCCGACTATTGATTTCAGCTCAGGTCATGACCTCACAGTTCGTGGGATCAAGCCCCACATCAGGCTCTGCACTGAAGGGCCAGAGCCTGCTTGGGATTCTCTACCTCTCTCTCCACCCCTCCCTTGCTCACATGCGTGCTCTCTCTCAAAATAAATAAATAAACATTTAAAAAATAAAAAGAGTAATTTCAGTCTGTAAGTGAAAGAATTAGAGGGGATCAGAAACTCCTCTTACAGTTTCATATAATTGGCAATAGCTCCCCTCATCTACCAGAAAATGTTCACTTCTTTTAAAGTTTATTTATTTATTTTGAGAGAGATAGAAAGCAGGGTAGGGGCAGAGAGAGAGGGAAGAGAGAGAATCCCAAGCAGGCTCCACACTGTCAGCACAGAGCCTGATGCGGGGCTTCAACTCACAAACAGTGAGATTATGACCTTAGCCAAAATCAAGAGCTGGACGCTTAACCAACTGAGCCACCCAAGTGCCCTAAAAATGTTCTTTTTACCAGAGATACTACATAGAACTAAACTAGTTGTCAGCAACTAACTAATTTTTCTTTAGGACACAGCAATGAGAATGGACAATGCTGAGGGCACCAGTACCACTGCACAAAAGATTTGTTAACTAAGAATGTTTTTTTTTTAATTTTTAAAATTTGAGTGTGGCTGACACACAATGTTACATTAGTTTCAAATGTACCACACAGTGATTTGACAAGTATATACATTATGCTATGTCTACCACTGTAGCTGTCACCATACAATGCTATTACAATATCACTGACTATATTATTCATGCTGTGCCTTTTATTACCATTAACTATGAATTTTTTAAAACCATATCCCCCATGGTGACATTTCAAAAACACAGTTAAAATAGTCCCATATCAGAAGGTCATTACCAAAAGAAAGACATGTTTCCTATTTCAATAGGTTCTGGCAGGAAATAAAAATAGTTTTATTGTCTTTAATATTTTATTGTATACAATATATTACAGGGTATAAATTATAATTTACTGTATAGTTGAAAAACAAAGATAGAAGTATGATGTGTTAATTTATATAAAACAGTAAAAATGTTTTGTACCTGTCCATGATATAACACAGCTGGTTCAGGATACTGGAATCTAGGCTGAGGAGAGCAGGATAGAAGATCCCCGGAGGAAACAATACCACTAGTGGAAGGTTATAATTTACATATATGTCACATACCTTTTGGGAAGAATGATAACATCAGTATACAGATTGTTTCCCAGAATGCCTCAACCAAGTTCACCCAAAGATTTATCAAAAGAGAATAAGCAATAATAGAACATCAGATTTGGGTCTGCCTGATTCATAAATTGAATAGGTAATCACAGCCTGCTTAAAAATGTACCTCACTAAACATCAAACTTGCCATAGAGGATTATTTCTACAATGTCATTACTAAAATATTCCATTTTTTCCTGGGGAGAGGGCTTTAAGTTGGGAAGAGAGGAGAAGGGAGTCCTTAAAGGAGTATTAATCCCATTAATAGTGATTTATCATATTAGTTAGCTATCAACATGGAAAATGAGCATGCTTCTAAAATATATAGCACAAGACAATTAGTGCAGGGAGGAAGCCAAGAAAACTGAGATTAGTAGGTACTTCCAGGATAATAGTTTTGTCCACATCAAATACTACAAAATATAAGAAGACCATAATCATAGATGTTTTGAAAGGTAGAAGTGGATATATGAAGAAACAACAGGGTATTTTTTGGGTTTTGCCAGGAGTTTGGAATGTACAATGAATGACTAAAAAGTGATGCTATAGACAGACTTCTGCCGAGGGTCAGCATTCTTCAGGGGAATGTCTATTAAAGCAGTACCTGAACTTTTCACCAAAACCATTTGTTTCTCCATTTTATGAAAATCAGTTATTCAGGTGAGAATCTAATCATGAACTTCCAAATAAGAAGCTTATTTTAACTGTGTTAAACATAGTCACAGTCCAACTTAATAGTTGTACATAAAATTTAAATAATAGACCAGTAAAGCAGACAGCCAACACAAAAATCAAAATAGACAATATGGGATGTGTACTACCTTCTCATAGAAATCCAAAATAAAGTGCAGTAAGAAAGTATTGTTGCTTTCCAAGCGCATTGCAGTAGTGGACAGCCACCCTATGTAGTCAATCAGTTCAGACACAGTGTTCACGGATCCACCTAAAGTGGTATCCCTGCAATAAGAAACCATGACGCTCAGACCCACATTAGCAAAAGTCTTCACAATTTCCAAGCTAAAGTTAAATAATATACAGCAAAAAGTTTTTTAAGGATTTCAGAAAATGATCAGTGCTCCAATGTATAATTGAGGTTTTTTTTTTTAAACCACAGTGATTAACCATAAAACTACACAGTGCTCCAGGGAACCATTAAGATAAATTCACAGAACATGCCCAGGAACTACTCTACTAGTAAACATCAGAAAAAAAAGATTAAGCTCCAGACAGACTTTAGATGTCCAGGAACCACAGAATTCAGCAAATTAGTTTCTAAGTATACAAACCAAGACTCAGTTTTACCTGAATTCCTGAGTTGACATGCTATTAAAACTAATTTCACTTTAACTGGAATTCAATTCAATCCTAAAACTGAATTAGTATAATTTTTGGCATCTTTCTTCCAGTAATAACCAAATGTGGTTATATTATATCCTTCCCAAATCAATAAACTGTGTCTCTTTATTTTTTTTAAGATTTTATTTTTAAGTAATCTCTACACCGAACATGGGGCTTGAACTCACAACTCCGAGACCAAGAGTTGCATGCTCTACTGACTTAGCCAGCCAGGTGCCCCAAACTGTGTCTCTTTAAATCACACTTAAACACTGACTCCTGATTTCACTTCTCTCTCTCTCTCTCTCTCTCCCCCACCCACCTCTGCTACCTCTCTCTCTCACACTTTTTTTTTTTAAATATTAACTTAAAATTTTTTTTAATGTTTGGTTAGTTTTGAGAGAGAGAGAGAGAGAGAGAGAGAGAGAGAGAGAGAGAGAGAGAGATAAAGACACAGCCTGAGCAGGGAGGAGCAGAGAGAGAGGGAGACACAGAATCCAAAGCAGGCTCCAGGCTCTGAGCCATCAACACAGAGCCCAATGTGGGGCTGGAACCCAAGAACAATGACATCATGACCTGAGCTGAAGGCAAAAGCTTAACTGACTGTGGCACCCCCTCCCCCGGACCTTGTGCATGCATTCACTCTCTCTCTTCAAAAAAAAAATCACAAAAAAAAATCTCAAGAAAAAACGGAATAACAAGTTCAATTCATCTATCCACTCACCCTGTTCTTCAATCCACTGTTGAGTGGACTAGGAAAAGACTTACAAATGTGATTTCATACCTTTACCCTCTGATCTAGGTGGCCAACAATGGTTATGCACAAGAAATAAAGAACGGCAGACAGTCTTAGAGCCTGAGAAATGATTATGACTCTACCACCACCCACTGATGGATCAGTGTCAGAGTGAACAGGGAAAAGATCAGGAGACCATTCACAAAGGTGGGCATCCATATTGTCAACTGGCTATTTGCAAACTATATTTTAACTATGATTTTTGGCAGCACCTGGCAAATGTTTCTGAAATAATTTCAGCAATGATGATTGCTCACAACAGCACACTTTGAAGTGCTTCTCCACAGGACACAGAGGCACTTAAAAAAATTTTTTTTTAACGTTTATTTATTTTTGAGACAGAGAGAGACAGAGCATGAACGGGGGAGGGGCAGAGAAAGAGGGACACACAGAATCGGAAGAAGGCTCCAGGCTCTGAACCATCAGCCCAGAGCCGGACGCGGGGCTCGAACTCACGGACCGTGAGATCGTGACCTGAGCCGAAGTCGGCCGCCCAACCGACTGAGCCACCCAGGCACCCCGAGGCACTTTAGATGAAACAATATTCTGTTCAGGACTGCATCCTACTCCCCACACACAGCAACATGTTTACCATCCTTGGCTACCACTCACTAAATAATGGTAGCACCCTCTTCCCATTCACAGTGCCAACCAAAAACGCCCAATGGAGAATCACTGCTGAGAATGGCTTCCTACCCTTCCCTCCTTATGATCTACAACTACAATTTACTCCCTCTTTGACAGTCATGTGGCATATGGTCATATGAGAGGGACATGGCATTATATCCATATTGCCAAACAGAAGGAGTTACTGAGAGCATAAGAGCTATATTATACAATGCTAAGTGGTATTATGACACTTAGGTTATCTACACTTATGTCCATTTGTTTAAGACTTTTAGAAAACTCCTTTTTAACTGCCCTGACGAAATTCATGACACTACTTTAAAAAGGATCCTAGGGGCCCACGGAAGAGGGTAGGAAGGGCGGAGAGGCAGTGCATGCTACACGAACTGCAGGAGGGAGCCAGGGTGGTGGAGGGGCAGCCCGCCCGGCAAGGTGGAATCCCCGAGTCTGGCTTGCAAAAGCGGAGGGACCAGACTGTGTGAGTTCTGACAGCCAGCAGGACTTAACATCTGGAACTTATAAGTCAAAAGCTCTGCTCTCAGAGAGCGGGGAGGGTGAGAGGACGCCAGGAGGGAGAGGTGTTGAGCCCTGGAAGACAGAGCTCAGCTCGGTGGGGAACAAAGGCGCTGGACAGCGCCATCTCCCTCTCCCATCCCCCAGCCAAAATCCCAAAGGGAACCAGTTCACGGCACCAAACTTGCTTGCACCACGCAAACACCCAACGCTGTGCTCCTCTGGATCCATCCCTCCAACGGGTCTGCCTGCCTCCCTCCCAGTGCTGCAGGGCACCTCCTGCAGGGGACCACCAGCGGCAAAACCAGCTAAGCCTGCCCCTCCCACCCCTGTGCACCCTGCGGATCCACCACAGCTAATACGCCAGATCCCATCAAAGCAACTCCACAAGCCTGGCAGTGTGTAGGTAGCCCAGACAGGGGCCACACCACTCCACAGTGAGTCCTGCCCCTGGGAGAGGGGAAGATAAGGTACATAGCAGTCTCACTGTGGCCCCATTGGTGGGTTGGGGACAGACATTGGGTCTGACTGCAGCCCCACCCACCAACACAAGTTACTCCAAATAGCACAAGGGAAGTGCCCTGCAGTTCCGCGCCACCCAAGGACTATCCAGAATGACAAAAAGGAAGAATTCGCCTCAAAAGAAACTCTAGGAAATAGCGACAGCTAACGAATTGATCAAAAACAATTTAAGCAACATAATGCAACAAGAATTTAGAATAATAGTCATAAAATTAATCACTGGGCTTGAAAAAAGTATAGAGGACAGCAGAGAATCTATTGCTACAGAGATCAAGGGACTAAGAAATTAGTCATGAGGAGCTAAAAAATGCTATAAATGAGGTGCAAAATAAAATGGAGGTGACCACAGCACGGATTGAAGAGGCAGAGGAGAGAAAAGGTGAATTAAAAGATAAAATTATGGACAAAGAGGAAGCTGAGAAAAAGAGAGAGAAAAAAATCCAGGAGTATGAGGAAAGAATTAGAAACCCAAGTGATGCAATCAAATGGAACAATATCCGTATCATAGGAATTCCAGAAGAGAAAGAGATAGAGAAAGGGGCTGAAGGTGTACTTGAACAAATCATAGCTGAGAACTTCCCTGATCTGGGGAAGGAAAAAGGCATTGAAATCCAAGAGGAAAAGAGAACTCCCTTCAGACGTAACTTGAATCGATCTTCTGCACCACATATCATAGTGAAACTGGCAAAATACAAGGATGAAAATTCTGAAAGCAGCTAGGGATAAACACACTCGAACATATAAAGGGAGACCTATAAGACTAGTGATGGATCTATCTACTGAAACTTGGCAGGCCAGAAAGGAATAACAGGAAATCTTCAATGTGATGAACAGAAAAAATATGCAGCTGAGAATCCTTTATTCAACAAGTCTGTCATTTAGAATAGAAGGAGAGACAAAGGTCTTCCCAAACAAACAAAAACTGAAGGAATTCATCACCACTAAACCAGCCCTACAAGAGATCCTAAGGGGGATCCTGTGAGATAAGGTACCAGAAACATCACTTCAAGCATGAAACCTACAGACATCACAATGACTCTAAACCCATATCTTTCTGTAATAACACTGAATGTAAATGGACTAAATGCTCCAACCAAAAGACGTGGGGTATCAGAATGGATAAAAAAAACAAGGCCCATCTATTTGCTGTCTGCAAGAGACTCATTTTAGACCTGAGGACACCTTCAGATTGAAAGTGAGGGGATGGAGAACTATCTATCATGCTACTGGAAGTCAAAAGAAAGCTGGAGTAGCCATACTTATATCAGACAAACTAGACTTTAAATTAAAGGCTGTAACAAGAGATGAAAAAGGGCATTATATAATAATTACAGGGTCTATCCATCAGGAAGAGCTAACAAGTATAAATGTCTATGTGCCAAATACAGGAGCCCCAAAATATATAAAACAATTACTAACAAACATAAGCAACCTTATTGATAAGAATGTGGTAATTGAAGGGGACTTTAACACTCCACTTACAACAATGGATAGATCATCTAGACACAAGATCAATAAAGAAACAAGAGCCCTGAATGATACATTGGATCAGATGGACTTGACACATATATTTAGAACTCTGCATCCCAAAGCAACTGAATATACTTTCTTCTCGAGTGCACATGGAACATTCTCCAAGATAGATCACCTACTGGGTCACAAAATAGCCCTTCATAAGTATAAAAAAATTGAGATCATATCATGCATACCTTCAGACCACAATGCCATGAAGCTTGAAATCAACCACAGGAAAAAGTCTGGAAAACCTCCAAAAGCGTGGAGGTTAAAGAACACCCTACTGAAGAATGAATGGGTAAACCAGGTAATTAGAGAAGAAATTAAAAAATATATGGAAACAAATGAAAATGAAAACACAATAATCCAAATGCTTTGGGATGCAGCCAAGGCAGTCCTGAGAGGAAAATACATTGCAATCCAGGCCTATCTCAAGAAACAAGAAAAATCCTAAATACAAAATTTAACAGCACACTTAAAGGAACTGGAAGCAGCACAGCGAAGACACCCCAAACTCAGCAGAAGAAGAGAAATAATAAAGATCAGAGCAGAAATAAACAATATAGAATCTAAAAAAACTGTAGAGCAGATCAATGAAACCAAGAGTTGGTTTTTTAAAAAAATAAACAAAATTTATAAACCTCTAGCC